ACTAGGTGGGTAGTGCCGTCAATGTTGACAGGAATAATCAAGTCAGGGTTGGTAGTTGGTCTAAATGACGAGTGCACCAGCGTTTCATCGAGATCAAGAACTAAGCACTTCTTGTTCACGTCGGCGGGTGAAGCGGGAGGCAAAATGTTCTTGCGTAGCTCAATTGTATTGTCCGCAGCACCGGCAAGTTTCTGCTTTGTCGGCGACGATCGCACAGTCTGGTGCTGTTCATTGACTCCAAGCGCTGACATAAAGTTTGTCAACAGGTTGCGGAAGCTTCCTTGTCCTCCATTCGTGGCTGCTCCGTCGCGAATAAAGCGTCGACTTCCAGTAAGTACAGGCTGTTGCTTGCCGCTTTTGTCGGTTTGGTGAACGATGCTGGCCAGCGGGTTGGTTGGATTCAGATCCGCCAGAGGCTTCTTCGGTGACGACTTGTTCGAGCCCACCTCTACCGGGATGGTACCGACGCTACGGCGGGAGAACACTGGGTTGTGTAACAACCGACCGCTGGGCTTAGCCGCATCGGATTTCGGGCCCGCGTTCAGGTTCGCCTGCGTCTTCGCTCGCGTGGTAGGCATCATTGCTGGTGCAGGGCTTGATGTGGTAGCAATTGCTTTCGAGTTCAGGCGGGTCTGATGCGGGCTAGTCGGCCAAAATGATAATAGCTACGTGAAGCACAGCAACGGAAAATCGCATGGTCAAAAGACTGCAAGCACTTAACAGCATTCTCCCTCAGCCTCGTCCTCCAGCATAAAGGCGCCAGGCAACCCGTCCCGCCTTGATTCTCTAGCACATGGATTATAACGCTGTCTATCCTGGACGCGGTTTATTTTTACCTTGCGATCCTTCCACGCCTGTGCACAGGAATCTCACCGCACAGGTCAGCGAGAACCTTCAGTCTGCACAAAGAGGGCACAAAGAGGTGAGGGCAATTAGTATCGGACACGTATTGCTATAACTGTATGTGTCGACAATTATATTCAATCGGCGAGGTATAAACGCTTTAATTTGTTATCTGCAAAATCTGCAGGTAGCAATCGATTGGTCATGCCCACGTCGTCTTTTCGATTCATCTGAGCGATGAGACTTGTGGAGTATACTGGTCTAGCTCACTTGCAAGGATGATGCCAATTTTTTGCCGAGAAAGAATCGAGCAACTGAAGGTCTTCAATGCTGCACCAAAGCTTGGCATGGCTGTTTAGCGGTAGGTTTGTGTTCTAACTGATCATAAAGTTTGAAACTAATCAGGGGAATTGCCACTCATCATCTTATAATTCGACTTTTCTTTCTCACATGATGATTCATCGAATGACTCATGTCAACGAATATCCTGTCAAACCTGACTGATCATTTCCGCCCATGGCCGATAAGATTTAGGTCATTTTTAGTGGGAAATCGCTAACGCCGGCATAAAATCCATCACCTGGGTCTTCAGGTGAAAAGCTCCATTGGGATCCCGTACGTTCACAGATTGATGCCCAGTTCTGGAATGTGCATGTTGGTCAGGCTGTCTCAAACCAGCTTGGCTCGTCTCGAACAAGGAGGTGACTTCGATCACAGCGATATCATCAAGGTGTGTACAGATCTAAAACCGCGACAAAGAACTCGTTCACGGTCCAGAGATCAGACTCAAGAGAATTACACAAGACGACGATGTCGGTCGTTAGATCACTACTCATACAGAACGAAGGTGGCACTCCTCGGGTCTCTAATGGTTGCTTGCGTCTGCATTGTAGTGACAGTTCTGTGGTTAAATGTTGAAGACGTTGGAGACATTATTTATTCTGCGCCAAGACGGCGACTAGCAGTAGAGTCCAGTGCTACGACACTGCATTTGGACGAGCGGTATTTTTTCGATGGCACGCATTCGGACTTCGCACAGCAGTTCTATCGACGATATCTCGCCGGAGACGAAGTGGCAGCAATTACAGACACAAGCGATCTGAATGAAGTCGTAGACTACGTGAGTGAGTTCGGATTGGAATTTGCCAATCTCCCCGCGATGCTACAGCAAGCTGTTGTGTGGGATATGGGATATGTGGCTGCAGCAGACCTTGGGTACGTCAAGGTGTACACAAAATGCGGTATGCATATGTCAGAGTTGCAGCTTTCGAGAAGTGCTTATAGAAGTGCTGGATGTACCGAGCAAAGATGCTCCTCGCCGAACGGCGAGCTGTTCTATCAGTCGATGTTCTGTACTGATTATCAAATGGGGAATGTGAGTCTTTGCGCTGCTACAAACGGTATCACTCCAGTACACGGAGCAATGTGGGCCGACGGTGGCGCTGACGATGTGATACCAGTGAGTGAGATGCAGAGGCACCAATGGACTGATGCTGGTATTAACTACACGATCTTGGCGATTCACTTATCGGGAGACATCAATAGCTATGGGAAGTGCGTCGTACCGTCCATGGTGGTACCGTGTGTTTTATACGATGCCAACACAGCAGACGAGAACGACTGGTGTTCGCCGGAACATGGTGAAATTGTACCGCAATGGCTCGAGCTCGAAAGGACTGGCGGGATTTTAGTAACCGAGAGCTCAGGGTGGCAAAAAGCTGCTCTTCCTGTTACCATCACAAGTGTGGTGCTACTGCTACTTGTACTGGTTGTTGCGTTCATTTTCTGGAGAAAGATTCGTGAAAGGCTGCGCCAGTCCGAGGAGTTCTATGAACAAAAGCGTGCAATCTTAGGCGGTCGACGTTCCGACGCGTTTTCTATAATGGACGACATCGACTTCATCCTTGAGGCCCCAGGTCGATCGTTTATTGAGAACGGAAGTCAACAAACGTGGGTCGCATGGAATCGTACATCCGCCAAGCTGAAACAGGTCTCCAAACGCTCAGTTGTTGAAGAAAATAGTGAAGATCTGGATGCGACGCTCGTGAGAGGAAGCTTCGATGGAATGGATAGCTCTTACCTCCATGAAGGATCAGCTCACCACCAACACCTTAACTATAGCAAGCCGACCACAGCACGCATGACGAGCTTTGAGTCCGGTATGCTGAACAGTCCACGAAATACGCTTATGATGACGCTTGCACGCCAAACGAATTCAGTCGACCAGGATAGCTCTGGAATAATGAATAGTCCTTTGACCGAGTTCCAGAACGATTCAGCGGTGGCTTCGCGTCGTGTTCCTTTCGTTGACATTAGCCTAATTCGGCAGATTTCATCGGGTGCATATGGAGATGTCTGGTTGGGCCGCTTGCGTGGTGACATTGTCGCTGTAAAGAGGCTCATTCGTGAACGACGTCGTCAAGTCCACGAACTCGAGGTTTTCGCAGCCGAAATCCAGCTTATGGCTTCGTTGGATCATCCGAATGTACTTGGACTAACGGGTGTAGCCTGGAATACCCTCGAAAACCTGCTCCTCATCATGGAGTACATGGAACGGGGAGACTTGCAGCACGTTTTGCAGTGTCAAAACGGAGCCAAAGACGCGTCCAGTGGAAACAACAGCATCGACGAGTTCTCGTGGGCTTCTCACAAGGCGAAAATCGCTCGAGATATCTCCTGTGGTCTTCAATATCTTCACAGTCTCAAGCCTATAGTAGTGCACCGCGACTTGAAGTCAAAGAACGTGTTGATTGGCGACAAGTACGAAGCTAAGCTCAGTGACTTTGGCGTCAGTCGAATGCGACGTGGTGACGAGACCATGACAAGTGGAGTGGGCACGGCGTACTGGATTGCGCCCGAGGTGTTGGCTGGGCACAAGTACTCTGAGAAGGCAGACATTTACTCGCTGGGTGTTGTGTTGGCTGAGTTAGACACTGGAGAATTGCCATTCTTCGACGCACGCACATCAGACGGAGACAAGATGGAGGCGATTCATATTCTGAGTCTTGTGGTAAGTGGCGAGTTACAACCGAGCTTTACGCTTGACTGTCCTGAAGACGTCCGTAAATTGGCACTGGTCTGTTTGAATCCGAATCCAGACAGTCGACCATCCGCCAAAATGGTCCTGGATGAGCTCAACCGACTGCTGGAAGGGTGACCACTCAGGAGATTTTCTACAATTGTGGACAAGACGATGGCAAGCGGCTACGATGTCAACTACGCTGCGCTGGGACTCACGTTGGAGCGATTCGAGGCGTTCAAGACCGTGTTTTCTTCACTAGATAAGGCTCACACTGGGGCCATCTCCACGAGGCAACTGGACGCGCTTTGTTTCCAGTTAGGCGAGACTCTCGACGAAGAGGAACTGGCAGTCGCTGCTGCGAGTCTCGCAGACCCGAAAACAGGCCTCATCCACTTCAATACCTTCCTGCC